CATTTCTCCAATGAAAATGGTTGTTGTTGAGTTGTTTAGTCGTGTCCGACTCTTCGTGACCCCCTGGACCAGAGCACGCCAGGCCCTCCTGTCTTCCACTGCCTCCCACAGTTTGGTCAAACTCATGCTGGTAGCTTTGAGAACACTGTCCAGCCATCTCATCCTCTGTCGTCCCCTTCTTGCCCTCCATCTTTCCCAACATCAGGGTCTTTTCCAGGGAGTCTTCTCTTCTCATGAGGCGGCCAGAGTATTGGAGCCTCAGCTTCAGGATCTGTCCTTCCAGTGAGCACTCAGGGCTGATTTCCTTAAGAATGCAGAGGTCTGATTTTCTTGCAGTTTATGGGACTCTCAAGAGTCTCCTCCAGCACCAGAATTCAAAATGAAAATAGGGGCATCCTATATAATAATAATAATAATAATAATAATACCCTGTCCATCTGGCTAGGTTGCCCCAGCCACTCTGGGCGGCTTTCAATATACAGTAGAACCTTGGTTCCTGAATGCTTTAGTTGCCGAACAGATCGGCTCCCAAACGCCGCCAACCCGGAAGTAAGTGTTCCGGTTTGTGAACGTTTTTCAGAAGCCGAACGTCCACTGCAGCCATTTGGAAGCCATGCCTTGGTTTTTGAACGGTTTCGGGAATCAAACGGACTCCTGGAACAGATTAAGTTCGAGAACCAAGGTACCACTGTATATATAAACGTAACAAAACATTTAAAAACTTCCCTATGCCTTCAGATGTCTTCCAAAGGTTGTATAGTTACTTATCTCCTTTGCTCACATAACTCCATACCCTCCAATGGAACAGTTTCCCTTGGGCGTGAACTCTACTTCCCTAGAGCTTTTTAAGCAGAGGTTGGGTGGCCATCAGGCATGGAATCACAGCTAAAACATCCTTCAGCTGGATGCTTGACTTCTGTCAATGGAGCCTAGAATAGCATTAGCTTTCTTTTTGTTCCCACGTCACAGCAATGATGGGCCTTGCCATCCCGCTTCCCCATCTTAGCTTGCTGATCGGAAGGTCGGGGGTTCGAATCCCCGTGACGGGGTGACCTCCCATTGCTTTGTCCCTGCTCCTGCCAACCTAGCAGTTCGAAAGCACACCAGTGCAAGTAGATAAATAGGCACCGCTGTGGTGGGAAGGTAAACGGCGTTTCCGTGCACTCTGGTTTCCAGCAAGGTGTCCCATTGTGTCAGAAGCTGTTTAGTCCTGCTGGCCACATGACCCAGAAATCTGTCTGTGGACAAACCCTGGTTCCCTTGGCCTGAAAGCGAGATGAGCGCCACAACCCCAGAGTCACATTTGACCAGACTTAACCATCCAGGGGTCCTTTACCTTTACCGCTCACCCCATCTGGCCAACCCTACTGAGCTCTCAGTGGGTGGAAATCCTAAACTGAGAGGCAAAAACTCCCTTTCAGCTCTTAGTCAGACCTGGCCAGTCTTTTCAACTTCTTCCTCGCAAGTGGGTTCAACCTCCAGCACATTCCAGGCGGCTTGGAGCAAAAGCTTCTGGGCTGAGCACCTTCCTCATGAATCAGCTTCCTCAGCACCATCCCCCATGCCCTGCAGGTTCCATCCTGCCCAAGGGATCACGGAAAAATTCCCCGGGTTTGCAGGTCAATGTGGAAGTCCTGTGTGGTGCTGTAGAAAGGAGGGGAACATACGAAGCACGATAATGTGTAGGTTGCTAATGGTTTAGGGGGCTGGATGGAGCCCCTGCTCTCAAGACCGGCTGCAGGCCATCTGCATTTTCTTGAGCATTGTGGCAAAAGGCAGGAAATAAGAAGTGTGTGTGTGCGCGCGCATGGATAGAGAGCTGAATGGAAGGTTTGCCTCCAGTAAACACATAGAAGAAGTCTACCAGTGTTTCCTAGCCATGATAGCTGGTGCAGTGGTTAGACTAGGATGTGGGAGATGCGGGTTCAAATCCCGCTCCCCCAGCCATGAAGCTGACCTTGTGTCAGTTAGCGCCTCTCAGCATAGCCTACCTCACAGGGTTGTTGTTGTGAGAACTATGCACACCAATTTGTGCTCCTTGTTGGAAAGTTGGCGTATAAATGTGATAAAAATGAAATAAATAGCTAATTGGCAGTGTACCAGTTGCTGCAGATCACATATGGGGAGAGTGGTTTTGAACCCAGGTTCTGCTTGTGGGGATTCCAATGAGCATCAGGTTGGCCACTGTCAGAAGAGGATACTGCCTTCTATGAGCCCTTGGCCTGATCAATTGATGGTGGGGGGGTGCTTGACACATGACCATTGGGTCATCATCCTGCAGACACTTAGCCAGTCATGGTGGGGAGCTGATTCTGGCCAATAAGGACGGTAAGCAAGAATTTAACCTGGAGTTAGGGCCTGGTGATGGAAGTAGCTGGCTGTTCTTAGGGATTTGCCAGGTAGGATGTTGTTGTTGTTGTTTAGTTGTTTAGTTGTGTCCGACTCTTCGTGTCCCCCTGGACCAGAGCACGCCAGGCACTCCTGTCTTCCACTGCTTCCCGCAGTTTGGTCAAACTCATATTCGTAGCTTCGAGAACACTGTCCCACCATCTCGTCCTTTGTCGTCCCCTTCTCCTTGTGCCCTCCATCTTTCCCAACATCAGGGTCTTTTCCAGGGAGTCTTCTCTTCTCATGAGGTGGCCAAAGTCTTGGCACCTCAGCTTCAGGATTTGTCCTTCCAGTGAGCACTCAGGGCTGATTTCCTTCAGAATGGAGAGGTTGGATCTTCTTGCAGTCCATGGGACTCTCAAGAGTCTCCTCCAGCACCAGAATTCAAAAGCATCCATTCTTCGGCGATCAGCCTTCTTTATGGTCCCAGCTCTCACTTCCATACATCACTACTTTATCCAGGTAGGATAAAGCTGTCCAATTCCCGCAGGTGAAGGTAAAGATCCCACAACGGGTAGAGGTGCTTTTGCAGGAAAGGAAAAGTGGATAGTCCTTAGCTGCTACTTCTGTGTTATTGCAGGGCTATGACGCTCTGGACCCCTTCCAACTCTACATTTCTATGATTCGAGGAATAAATTGTTTTCACATAAACAGTTCTGTAGTGGAGGATTGCAAACACAGTTCGTGTTCAAACCTGAACTGGCATTTCAGACAGAAAATCAGTACTGTGGCTTTAATGCTGAACCGGTTGCGTTTTATCCCGCTCTGAGAGTTTAATAAAAACACAGTTTTTGTTTCCATTGTGCCTCGGCTCTGATTTACACCTAGTGCAGGGGATGATTTGTCACAGGAGCCCCCCAGTATCAAGAGTCCTTGCTGTGGGTTTAAATGATACGTTGCCACCTATAGAGAATCCCCGAATTCTCGGTTGTTAGGGAAGCAACCAGGGTTAAATCCCCTTGGCCTATAGCCCTGGTCCCATCTTCCTTGAGGGAGGGTGTCTAGGCAAAGAAAAAGGAGCTAGCTCTGTGTGTGTGTGTGTGTGTGTGTGTGTGTGTGAGAGAGAGAGAGAGAGAGAGAGAGAGAGAGAGAGAATATGCTATGAACTCAGTGGGACAATTAGCCTGATAATCACAGGCGTTAAGAGAGCTTTTAAAATGCAGATTACCAACCCAATGGGCATGTGGAGCTGCTGAGATCTGTGCAGCAACACACAGCTTTGGATTTTAATCAATCGGTAACCATGCTCAGCTTCCCTCTTTATTTTCCCCTGCCTTACCAGAAAGGGAAACTCTCCTCAAAGCGGAGAAAAATGTATTGCACTCAGACGTGTTCAGGTTTTCTTGGACTCAACGGCTAATATATGTCTTTGACGTGTGCACCCTTGTTTGGACAGGTTTGTTTGTCCCCATCCACTTGGGGCCTGAAAAATACACCCCTTCCCTGATTTTGATGGCTGACTTGATGGACCTTGTGCTGGATTCAGGGAGGTGTTTGTGGTGTCCTTTTTTCGGAAATAATTTTTATTTGATTTTACAAGTGTAGAATTATGACAATACAAAATACATATCCATATTTAGAGATTTCTCTGAATCTCCAGACTTCCTACCCTCCACTCCGTGGCTCCTACGGTCGACCTTTTCAACTGCATATTTTTTCCTAATCCATATTTTATATCTCTCCAAATGGTCCGTGGTATTTTGTTTGTGGTGTTCCTCATCCGCACAATGCAGGAAGACATGCGGCTGGCATCCTTTGGCTAAGATGGGTCCTTCCCCCCACAGCAATAGATGTGGGATGGTGGTGGGGATTTTGGTAGTGGCCAGGAAGGTTTAACCTCCTCCTCTCCATATGGCACAGCTGTAATACCGATTGTGGCTATCTGCAGTGTTTCCCAACCTTGGGCCTCCAGCTGTTTTTGGACTACAACTCCCATCATCCTAGCTAGCAAGACCAGTGGTCAGGGATGATGGGAATTGTAGTTCAAAAACAGCTGGAGGCCCAAGGTTGGGAAACACTGATCTAGAGAGAGAGAGTTAGGGGTGCAGACTTCCATGATCCAGCATCTTGTCTAGTTATTCCTGATTTATTGCAGCTCAGAGAAATAAGAAAAACCTGGGTGTTTTCTTTTTCATTTCCTGGTACTGTCTGACAGCAGTGGCTACCCATTTGTTTTTGGGCCCAATTCAAAGTACTGATTTTGACCTTTAAAGCCTTATGCAGCTCACGATTGTCTTTCCCCCTATGGACCCTGTGACCATCATCTGAAGCCCTTCTTCATTTGCCTCTTCCACAAGAGGCCCGTAGGGCGGCAACATGAGAATGGGGCCTTTTTAGTGGTGGCTCCCTGCTTGTGGAATGTTCTCCCCAGGGAGGCTCGCCTGGTGCCATCATCATATATCTTCAACCACCAGGGAAATCATTCCTCTTTAACCAGGCCTTTGGCTTTAAACTATGCACTTTTAGAGTTGGTGAGATGTTTTAATGTAACCCCCCCTTGGTTTAATGCATGTATGTGGGGTTTGTTGGTGCTCTTTCACTTTTTGTAAGTTGCCGTAATGATGATGATGATGATGTCTTCTTCTTATGCCTTCCTTCTCCTTCTGGATTAGTTTGAAGATGACATTCTGGACATCTGCCTCCAGCTGTTGGACACCAACCCCAAGTTCCTCCGAAACCAGGATAAGGACTGCTCCCGACGCAACAGCCCTGTCTATATCAGCAGGGTAGTGAGCGCCATGGTGAGTTTGGAGCAAGAGGGCAGGCCCTCCACGTGGGTGACCGTGCCAGCGGCAGCCTCCCCAGGCAACTTCTGCCCAGTCCTAAGGAGATGCTCACGTTGTCTTCTGCCAGCCCCACAGAGAGCCGAGTCCTCCTCACACACTCGAGGGCTTTCCTGCAAAGCTGAGATGGTCCAAACTCCTGCCCATGGGCTGGTTGCAGAATAAGATAACACGGAATTATGCGTTAGGGGACACTTGCATTCTGAAACGTGTATCAGAGATGCTGCTGCCTTTATCCTACTTCAGGTTATTCGTTCTGCAAGTTTGTCAGCAGGGCTTAGGAGTCCTTCGCCTCCCAGGTTTTGAACCTTTTAAATCTCAGAATCCTAGTGTTGGAAGGGACCACGAGGACCATCTAGTCCAGCCCCCTGCAATGCCAAAATGCTATTTATTTCTTTATGGCTTTTGCACGACTCCCCATAAGACAAGCTTCTCTGGGCAGCATACAAGGGATAAGAAAAATTATGCATTTATGAAAGCGTAACATCGAAAGGAAATACAGTCGTACCTTGGAAGTCGAACGGAATCTGTTCTGGAAGTCCGTTCAGCTTCCAAAACGTTCGGAAACCAAAGTGTGGCTTCTGATTGGCTGCAGCAGGCTCTTGCAGCCAATCGGAAGCCACGGAAGCCTGTCGGACGTTTGGGTTCCAAAAGAACATTCGCAAACCGGAACAATCACTTCTGGGTTTGCAGCGTTCGGGAGCCAAAACATCTAAGTTCCAGGGCCTTCGGGATCCAGGGTCGTCTTCTTCGGTGATCACTCATAGCCAAGTAAGATTGTCTTCCATAAACACAGTTTTAACAATGAGTCCGTAAGAGACTGTGGAGGCCAATTCTGGATCCCCACACCCTTCCACAGTGGGGACATTGGTTTCCAGGTGGGAATTGATCACGGTGTGGATTTGCTAAGCGTGCCTTCCTCTTAGCACATTTCTGCCTTGCATCCTGAGTTTGAGTGCCAATGACACCTTTGGTAAAGGCTGTTCTCCAACTGGAGCGCTCGCAGGCCAGTGTTTCCCAGTTGTCAGTGTTTATACTACATTTTTTTAGATTTGCCTTGAGACAGCCTTTAAACATATTTTGTTGACCACCAGCATTACACTTTCCATTTTTAAGTTGGGAATAGAGTAGTTGCTTTGGAAGACGATCATCAGGCATCCGCACAACATGACCAGTCCAACGAAGTTAATGTTGAAGAATTGTTGCTTCAACACTGGTGATCTTTGCTTCTTCCAGTACACTGGCAGTAGTTCGCCTGTCTTCCCAAGTGTTGTGTAAAAATTTTCAGTATCCAGGGTACAACTGTAAAGACAATGAATGCAGAGCTCACAGCACCATCAAATAAATGCAGGTTTTAAAAAATGGCTTTGTAAGTTGTTTTGAAGATGAACAGGGGGAAAGACCTCAAAATGGTGGCAGGCAGGCCTCCCTGGGAAGGATATTCCATAACTGGGGTGCCCACTGCATTTCATTCAGTAGAGGCACCCGGACTGGGACCTCCAAAGAGGGCCTCAGGCTTTGGGCAGATAAATAGAATCCCTTGGCTCCAGGCTGTTTTGCACCTGGACTCAGGAAACCCCTCCCAATCTGTGCAAATGGTTCCTTCCTCTCCTGAGCCACCTGCCCACACTCTCCTGCTCTTGTTGTGTCTTGGGCTACAGGTGAACTGCAACGATGACCAAGGCATCCTGCTCGGGCGCTGGGACAACCAGTATGACGACGGTGTGAGCCCCATGGCCTGGAACGGGAGCGTGGACATCCTCCAGAGGTGGCAGAAATATGGGTGCCAGCCAGTCCGGTACGGGCAGTGCTGGGTCTTTGCTGCTGTGGCCTGCACAGGTGAGGGGTCCTCAGTGAGGAAGCAGAAAGGGGCTGCCTCCTTGGCTCACCCCTGTCACAAACAGCATTTGGAGAATACCATGGCTCTGTTGGTTTCTGTGTGTTGCCACTGTGCAGTGCCCTTGGAGTCACAGGACTCTGTATATATTCATGGGATTCCAGACTGTTGGAAGTCTCATGGAAGACAGGAGATGGATGTGATGTTTACTGGTTTCCTGTTCCTTTATTTTCGGTTGCTCTCTGCTCTCACAGAGAGACGATGTATTTCTTTTCTGTCTGCGTAGCTTAGTAATAAAACTCTTAGCATGTAGCTCATATTTCTCGTCCTTCCCTGTGCTGGATACTCTGCGTAATGGGGGAACGTGCTTGGAGCCTTATCAGAGGCTCAGGTCATTAATCACATCGGAGGCGATTTCGGAGGACTCGACCGGAGGAGTCGCTCGGTCAAACGCAAGTCCGACAGGCTCCTCCATGTCAAAACACACAAGCTCTCTTTTTAAAGTGCGTTGGGGGTTCTGGTATATGCTACGGCCCCCTGTTCCACCGTTCTCTGTAGCAGGGGGCCGTTTCCTCACCCTCTCCATGGGGGACCATGCCCAATGCCCCCTCCCAGGGCACACCAGAGGCAAACTAATAATAATAGAATGTGTTGGGTGGGGGCTATTGTTTTGTTGCTTTTTGTTGCTTTGGCTTTAGCTATTTATTTGTTTTTTTATAAGATATTTATTGAAAATTTTAAGATACAAATAAAAACAAAAGGACAAACATACAAAATAACAAACACTTATAAAAACACACATTAATTTTCATTAACATAAATTCCATACCCTTATTTCCTCAGACCTCCTCATACTTCCCTTCTTTGTATTCCAATTCAATTCGTTAATTCAGCAAATCCTTACCATTAAACTTTTACCCATTTATGAACCTTTTTTCGTATCTCTTAAAGCATTACAGCTGAAAACCACTTAGTTTCAATCCAACATCCTTCTAACATTCATTAATTTTACAGTATTTCTGTAAATAGTCTTTAAATTTCTTCCAATCTTCTTTCACCGACTCTTCTCCCTGGTCTCGGATTCTGCCAGTCATTTCTGCCAGTTCCATGTAGTCGATCACCTTCATCTGCCATTCTTCCAGAGTGGGTATATCTTGTGTCTTCCAGTACTTTGCAATGAGTATTCTTGCTGCTGTTGTGGCATACATAAAGAAAGTTCTATCCTTCTTTGGCACCAATTGGCCGACAATGCCCAGGAGAAAGGCCTCTGGTTTCTTCAAGAAGGTATATTTAAATACCTTTTTCAATTCATTATATATCATTTCCCAGAAAGCCTTAATCTTTGGGCACGTCCACCAAAGGTGAAAGAATGTACCTTCAGTTTCTTTACATTTCCAACATTTATTGTCGGGCAGATGATAGATTTTTGCAAGCTATTTATTTGTATTTTTATCTTGTGAATGCCCTAAGATTTTCTGACGAAGGGCTGTATATAAATCTAATAAATAATTAAAATAAATAATAAACTTGGGCTTGGGTATCCTCCCTTTGGGAGCAAGGCAGCTAGTTCCGCCTTCATTATTTTTGCTTGTTAATATTTCATTGTACGACCGGAATGATTGCAGATGCAAGTATATCTGTATTGCTTTGTGTGGAGTTGTGTGGATTTTTAAAGGCAGCTGTAGGAGCGAGTGTCTCCCTCATTTGGGAGCTTGGCGGGTCTGTTGGGCGCGTTCCACGGATCGTTCACCTCTCCCTCTTCTGCCCCCCTCCCTTCCCAGTGCTGAGGTCCCTGGGGATCCCCACCCGCGTGGTCACCAACTACAACTCTGCCCACGACACCAACGGCAACTTGGTCATAGAGCAGTATTTGGATGAGAACGGGAAGCTGCAGCAGGGCAACCGGGAGCTCATCTGGTGAGTGGAGGTCCGGTGGGTGTTTGGGACTCCCCAAAAATGCATGCAGCGTCTTGGACCTGTCAGTCTGATAGCTTTGCCTAACTATGAGGTGCTGGGCTCTGTCCATGATGGAACTTTAGGGTTCCTGGTGCAGCTAGCAGGGAAGCAACAACTGAATCACCAACAACAGCTTCCTTGGAGGTTTTTAAGCAGAGGTTGGAAAGCCATCTGTCAGGGATGCTTTCAGCTGAGATTCCTGCATTGCAGGGGTTGGACTAGATGATCCCTGGCAATCCCTTCCAACCCTACCGTACTGTTATTCTGATTAAGAATAACTTTTTGATGGTGGAATAGACTCATTCGGAAGGTGGCAAATTCTCCTTTCTTTGAGGTTTTTCAACAGAGGTTGGAGGGATGTCCATCTGTCATTCTTTAGTTGTGATTCCTGTATTGCATGAACTTTGGGGTCCCTTCCCATTCTATAATTCTACGATTCTCATTATAGCAGTTAATTTTGCCAAAATTAATTCATTTAGTTTACAAATCCATTCCTCCTTTGTGGGTATAGTTTGTGACTTCCACCTAGCAGCAATCACTATTCTAGCAGCTGTACTTGCATATAGAAAAATTCTTTTTTCCCCTCGTGGTATCTCTTCATCTATCAATCCAAGGAGATATGCCTCTGGTTTCTTTGTTATTGATATTTTCAACATCTTCTTTAGTTCTTCATGTACTAATACCCAAAATTTCTTAATTTCCTCACACCTCCACCACATATGTATTATTGTTCCTATTTCTCCACCAGATCTCCAACAGAGATTGGATTTCAATTTGTATATCTTTGCCAACTTAACTGGCAAAATTAACTGCTTTAATAAGAAATCTGTCAAATCAAAAATTAAAAAAGGAATGGAAATGTTTTGATGAATATATGGCAAAATATCGCTCAAAAAAAGATACGCTCACATGCCTAGATTAAAATGTGAAGTACTGGATGGAAGAAAAATTAGTAAGGAAAGATAATAAGAATATATAGATGATTTGAGAAGATTGTAGAATGCAAAGATTATTGTAAATTGTATAATGTGGAGGAAATCGAGTGGAGGCGGAGGGAAGTGGGAGGAAGGAGAAAAGGATGATATGATGGATTGAGGAAATAGAAATGTATGGGGGGATGGGGAGGAAATGGTGTTGGCTTTGGTACATCTGTATTGTAATGCAATATGTGAAAACCAAGAAAAAATGGAAAATAATAATAAATTAAATTAAAAATAATTCTACGATTCTCCTGTTGTCGCCTCAAGCTGTTGTGCTGCTGGAAGCAGGCAGATATCAGCAAAGTTTGCATTTCAGGCCTTGATAGGATTTCTCTGCTTACGAGGTGCCTGATACTTGAGCATCCCATAACGGTTTTCAAGCATCTTGCAGAGCGAGGGTGCCTGGCACTCCTCAGGAACACCTAGGAGAGAAATTCCATGGGGGGAGCTGAGAATTTTCCAGCTGGGCCTGTGCCAGACGCCTCTGGAATGCGAGGGTCCTTTGGAGAAATGCAGAGTGTGCCTCTCTTATCGGACTTCGCTCCCTCCCTCCCCCTTTTCTCTGCCTCCCACAGGAATTATCACTGCTGGAACGAGTCCTGGATGACCCGCCCTGATCTCCCAGGCGGCTATGACGGCTGGCAGGCTGTGGACCCAACTCCCCAGGAAAAAAGCGAAGGTATCTCTGCCCAGAGCGCCAGCCAAAAGCCTCCTCCTCCATCCTAGCACCCTGCAGAGGTTTAGGGCTACAGCTCTCAGCCCCACAGGCAGGCCCCATAGGATTTGGGCTGGGAGGAGGTTGCTTGTGTTGTTTAACTGAAGGACAGGGTAGAACTTTAATAGAATAAAGGAATGATGCCTAAAATGCAGGCGACGGTGACGATTGCTTATTACAGGTAGGCACATATTTATAATGTACGCTGAGCCCGATACCCAATTTCTTATCATCGCTTTGACTGGGAGGTTCTGCAGAGTTGGGAATGGAGGCAATTAAGGGACAAAGAAAAGAGGCTTGATTATGCCCCTAATGCTCCATACAGTGGGACCTTGGTTCTCAAACTTCTTGGTACTCAAACAACTTGGAACCCAAACACTGCAAACCTGGAAGTAAGTGTTCCGGTTTGCGAACTTTTTTTGGAAGCCAAATGTGCTCCATTTTGAGTGCCACACTTTCATTTTGAGTGTTACGCTGAGGTCTGTCTGTTTTTGCTATTTATTTTGCGTTTTTGTTTTTGCGGCGCTTTTTTGTTTTGTTTTTGTGACTGTGTGGAACCGAGTTCAGTTACTGATTGATTGATTGTGTGACTGCAGTACATTGTTTATTGCTTTCATTTTATGGATCAATGGTCTCGTTAGATAGTAAAATTCATGTTAAATGGCTGTTTTAGGGGTTGTTTTTAAAAGTCTGGAATGGATTATATATATATATATATATATATATATATATATATATATGCAGGTTTTGGTGTCCTCGGGTGTCTTCCCGTGTAAAAGTTGGGGTGTCTAGGCGACGTTTCGACGAGGTCTCACTCGTCATCTTCAGGCTGGTGCTTTCGGCTTCTTGTTACTGGAACAGAAGCCGAAAGCACCAGCCTGAAGATGACGAGTGAGACCTCGTCGAAACGTCGCCTAGACACCCCAACTTTTACACGGGAAGACACCCGAGGACACCAAAACCTGCATTCCTGTACCCGTGAAAATCTACGAAAGCAAATATATATATATATATATATATATATATGCAGGTTTTGGTGTCCTCGGGTGTCTTCCCGTGTAAAAGTTGGGGTGTCTAGGCGACGTTTCGACGAGGTCTCACTCGTCATCTTCAGGCTGGTGCTTTCGGCTTCTTGTTACTGGAACAGAGCGGGATCTCAGTGTTTGAGTTCCTATAAATACTGTTGAGGGGGTGTGGTGTATAGCCTCCAATGTTCTGGGCAGAGAGGAAGTTCCCAGGTTAGTGTGCCTTTTCTTCTTTTGTTCCTTAATTACTTGAGGGATATCTTGAGTGATTTCTTGAGTGATATCCTGAGTACCACTTAGGTGGGTCTACCTAAGTGAAAATCTACGAAAGTCTACCTAAGTGAAAATCTACGAAAGCAAATATATATATATATATATATATATATATATAAAAGTTTTCAACATATCATTTTCAACAATAATTAAACGCAGCCAGTGTACGTTTTAATATTCCTCTGGTCGATGGCTTCTTTCTCCGTGCAGGAGTCTACTGCTGTGGCCCCACTCCAGTCCGAGCTGTCAAGGAAGGAGACCTGAAGCTGAAGTACGATGTGAAGTTTGTCTTCGCCGAGGTCAACGCAGACGTGGCTTATTTGATGCTGCAGAGCGACATGTCTCGGAAGAGGACCACCTACTCCTCTCTGGTGGGAAAGCACATCAGCACCAAGAGCATTGGCAGGGATGCCAAGGAGGACATCACCCACAACTACAAGTACCCAGAAGGTACCCAGAGCACCTCTGGGTTGTATATAAGAGGGAGGGAGGGAGGGAGGGAGGGAATACTTGTTGTTGTTGTTGTTGTTGTTGTTGTTTAGTCGTGTCCACCTCTTTGTGACCCCCTGGACCAGAGCACTCCAGGCACTCCTGTCTTCCACTGCCTCCCGCAGTTTGGTCAAACTCATATTCGTAGCTTCGAGAACACTGTCCAACCATCTCATCCTCTGTTGTCCCCTTCTCCTTGTGCCCTCCATCTTTCCCAGCATCAGGGTCTTTTCCAGGGAGTCTTCTCTTCTCATGAGGTGGCCAAAGTCTTGGAGCCTCAGCTTCAGGATCTGTCCTTCCAGTGAGCACTCAGGGCTGATTTCCTTCAGAATGGATAGGTTTGATCTTCTTGCAGTCCATGGGACTCTCGAGAGTCTTCTCCAGCACCATACTAGAGGGAATACTAGATTCAGGGAAATCTATGCCTACGGAAGTCTTTTTCCAAACTTTCAATAATGACAAAGATTCATGTCTCTGAATGTAAGGAGAGGATTCACATCAGTTTCCCAGACTTCTGTATTTATTTATAAAAACATTTATAGACCACTGTCTCATTAAAAAAAAGTCAAAGCGGTTTACAACAAAAATACACAAAGCCACACACAGTACAAACCATACCATTTAAAAATATTTTTTTAATGGACATCAAATAAGATAAATAAAATAAAATAAATAAATAAATAAAATCCTTCCAGTAGCACCTTGGAGACCAACTAAGTTAGTTATTGGTATGAGCTTTTGTGTGCATGCACATTTGGTATCTGATACCAATAACTGGGACCTCTAAACTACAGTTATTCATGGACCTTAAGGTCGTCTGCGGGGCAGACCAGGAGAGGCGGTCCTGTAGGTACCTTAGTTGTTCCTGCTTCCATTTTTGCAGACTCAGAGGAGGAGAGGTCCGTCTTTGAGAAGGCGAAGCACCAGAAGGTCTACCCGCCATCAGAAAAGGGCTTGAAAGTAAAAATCAAGGCCTCTGAAGGGATGAACAACGGGTGCGACTTTGACGTCTTTGCCGTCATCAACAACAACACGGACACCGAGCGCCGATGCCGGCTTATGTTTGGCGCCCGGACTGTCACCTACAACGGGACGCTGGGGCCAGAATGCGGGAGCAAAGACCTGCTCAACGTCAACCTGGAGCCCTACGCAGGTAAAGACAGATGAGAGCAGGTGAACTATCTGCCTTCTCCATCCCCTAATCATATGGACCCATGAAGCTCCCTTGTTGTTGTTTAGTTGTTGTTGTTGTTTAGTTGTTTAGTCGTGTCCGCCTCTTTGTGACCCCCTGGACCAGAGCACGCCAGGCCCTCCTGTCTTCCACTGCCTCCCGCAGTTTGGTCAAACTCATGCTGGTAGCTTCGAGAACACTGTCCCACCATCTCGTCTTCCGTCGTCCCCTTCTCCTTGTGCCCTCCATCTTTCCCAACATCAGGGTCTTTTCCAGGGAGTCTTCTCTTCTCCTGAGGTGGCCAAAGTCTTGGAGCCTCAGCTTCAGGATCTGCCCTTCCAGTGAGCACTTAGGGCTGATTTCCTTCAGAATGGAGAAGTTTGATCTTCTTGCAGTCCATGGGACTCTCAAGAGTCTCCTCCAGCACCATAATTCAAAAGCATCAATTCAGGAATCTGGTGGGGGAGTTCAAGAATCTGGTGGGGGAGAGCCTGAACCATTTCCCTCCCTATATGGGGGTCCCCATGAACCTCCCCCTCCGAGTCGTGGGGCTGGGGAAAGAGGGAGCAACCCCTGGCCCCGGGAAGCAGAGCAGCTGCTGCACTTTCAGCTTTGAGTAGAACAGCAACGACTGGGTGTTGTGCTGTTGCTCCATCCTTTCTTTGGAGGCAGCAGACAGAGGATTTGCAGCAAGCCTCTTGCTGAGCAGGACCCAGCAGCCTTTGCTCCCCTCTCCAGTCCATTCCTGGGCTGCAAGCTTTCCCTTTCCTCCCCTGCCCCTCTGTTGCTCCACTTCTCCTCCAGTTGAGATGGCTTCCCTTCAGCCCAGCTGTTCCCCATCAGTCTGTGACCTCCTTGTGCCCCCAGCTCCACTTCTCCTTGTTTAGCATTCCTGCTGCGCTTCAGGAGTGACGGAATGGAAATGATCTGCATCAAGCACCCAGACCTCCTCCTCCTCCTCCTTCCCCTTTCCCTCCCCCTTCTCACAAGAGGAAGCACTGGGCATCCCTATCTCCTAGCTGTAACATCACCTCCACCGCAGCAGACATCTCCAGATGTTGGAGAGGCTTTCTTTGCCCAGGGCAGCGCCTAAATCTTTGGCGTTGCACTTTTAGCTCTCCGCATCTCTGGTTAGAGCAGGTGGTTAGGACCCTCTAGATCAGCGGTTCTCAACCTCTGGGTCCCCAGATGTTGTTGGACTACAACTCCCATCATCCCTGAGCTCTGGCCTTGCTAGCTAGGGGTGATGGGAGTTGTAGTTCAACAACATCTGGGGACCCACAGGTTGAGAAAGGCTGCTCTAGATCATGGGTAGGCAAAGTAAGGCCCGGGGGCCGGATCTGGCCCAATCACCTTCTCAATCCAGCCCGCAGATGTTCCGGGAATCAGCATGTTTTCACATGAGTAGAATGTGTCCTTATATTTAAAATGCATCTCTGGGTTATTTGTGGGGCCTGCCTCGTGTTTTTACATGAGTAGAAGGTGTGCTTTTATTTAAAGTGTGTCTCTGGGTTATTTGTGGGGCTGAGGAATTTGTGTATTTATTATTATTTTTCAAAATATAGTCCGGCCCCCCACAAGGTCTGCGGGACAGTGGGCCGGCCCCCTGCTGAAAATGTTTGCTGATCCCTGCTCTAGATCTTCTTGGACTACAGCTTCCATCCTCCTTCCTAGCCATTGGCCATGCTAGGTGCTGGGCCTGCTGGGATTTGGAGTCCTCCCACATCTGGGGGGTCCACAGTGCTGCCACCTCGGAGCAAGGCTGGAGGGAGCCACTCTTTCCCAGCTGGCAACCCGAGACATCTCTTGGCAACCCCACCAGCCCATCCTAGGATGGAATTGGAGTGGATACCATCGTCTCCTGGTTTCGAGCAGACACACAAATGCTTGTGCATTCTTGTGAGCTGCTTGTCGCTTGGCTCCCGTCCTGTGGATTTTGGCACCAGGGCCTGGATTCACATCCTGAGGACCCAGAGTAAGTGGAAGGGGATCATTGCACTCTGAGCAGGCAATTTCCTGCCCTTTGTGGCTCCTCCAAGTGAGCAGCTGCTATTCCTTTCAGCCCATTTATATAACAGCACCTGAAAGGCGGGGTTTGGGTGGTGGGTTTCAGGCAAACAATGGGCCTTGCAGTGCTGGGGCCGGTGGAGTCAGGTTCCTTCCAAACTGCATACCTTCGCAGAGGCAAAACCGCAGAGATAAACAGACCTTCCGGAGATGGAGACTGGCGTGAGGCTTGGCTCTCTGCCCCAGGGGAGAGAGAAGTGCTTGTTTGCTTTGAACCCGGACCAAGATTGTCACTGTGCATTCATGCAGAGGGTGTGTCGGCACAGGAGTTGTCGCTGGCCTCCTGGTGCCTGGGACCGTAGGGCTAAGAATCAAGGCGGTGGGTGTTCTTTCATTGGAACTTATTAAGTGGAGGTGGCCATCCGTCAGGGATTCTTTAGCTGTGATTTTTGCATTGCAGGGGGTTGGACTGGATGACCTTTGGGTTCCCCCCCCAACTCTGTAATCCCATGAAACAGCTGAACTGGTTCTTCAAATTGGTGGATCTGGCTGTGCACTGAGTGACACTCCGGAGGGAGCATTACTTTACCTTCTCTTTCGTAGAACCATAAAACTGTCTAGTGGGAATCACAAAACGCCTGACAGATGGCCCTCCAACCTCTGCTTTGAAATCTCTAAGGAAGGAGAGTCCCCCATCTCCCGAGGGAGACTGTTCCACTGCTTAACAGCTCTTACTGTCAGAAAGTTCCTCCTCATGTTTAGTCGGAATCTCTTTTTTTGCAATTTGAAGCCATTGGTTCAGGTTCTGTCCTCCAGAGCAGGAGAAAACAAGTTGGTTCCATCTTCCATGGGACAGCCCTTGAGATATTTGAAAACGACTATCATATCCCCTCTAAGCCTTTCCATCTCCAGGCTAAAATACCCACCTCCACGGGGCATGTTCAACAGTGCCTAGGAGAGGCAGAGGGGCCCTTTACTAAAGAAGAACCAGCTGCGTTTTTCCTCCTCCCTCCAGATACCTTTTCCTTTTGTGCCATGTGCCTTTTAGATCATAAGCAGGGATGTTCTGTGAACATTTGCAGACGGTGCAGAGAGCCTTTTTTCTGTCTGAAGAGCAAGGTGAAAATGCTACAAATAAAAGAGGCAGGCTCTGTCTTGTTCAGCTCCCTCTCTCCCCCACCCCCATCCCTGCACCCCTGGTCAGCCAGATTGCCCCAGGAAGCCCCTAAACAAACAATGTAAGCCAGAACCTCCCCCCCCCCTTCTCTTGCATTAAAAAAGCCTTTCCACCCTGGGGACTTCCTCTTGCTTCAGCTGGCAGGCCTAGGCCAGGATGCTCATTTGCATTACAAATGCCTTCCCTCACTTCCAGACAAACAGCAAGAATGGAGAGGTTTAGAGCAGCAAGGGAGGCTAGCTTCCTGGGTGAAAACACCCACAGCCTGAGCACCCGCAGGTTGACAGCCATTTGGAAGGGAACGCAGAGACACGTTGAGGCGAACCGCAGGCTGTCGTTCAGCACCCAAGACGGCTCAGGCAGGAATGTAGCTGTTTGGCAGAAATCTACCTTAGGGTCATTGCTGGAGCATCGATGTAAGGACCAGTGGTGAGAGCCACACAGACCCCTGAGAAGCTGCAACAATCTGGGTCGCTGGAGCTTCCGAGTCGTCCTGAGGCTCCGTCTTAGAATCATAGAATCATAGAATCATAGAGTTGGAATAGACCACAAGGGCCATTGAGTCCAACCCCTGCCAAGCAGGAAACACCATCAGAGCACTCCTGACATATGGTTGTCAAGCCTCTGCTTAAAGACCTCCAAAGAAGGAGACTCCACCACACTCCTTGGCAGCAAATTCCACTGTCAAACAGCTCTTACTGTCAGGAAGTTCTTCCTAATGTTTAGGTGGAATCTTCTTTCTTGTAGTTTGGATCCATTGCTCCGTGTCCGCTTCTCTGGAAGCAGCAGAAAAACAACCTTTCTCCCTCCTCTATGTGACATCCTTTTATATATTTGAACATGGCTATCATATCACCCCTTAACCTCCTCTTCTCCAGGCTAAACATGCCCAGCTCCCTTAGCCGTTCCTCATAAGGCATCGTTTCCAGGCCTTTGACCATTTTGGTTGCCCTCCTCTGGACACGTCTTGCTGGATATCTCCAAGCTGTGGGGTTTGGGGGTATTCCCACCCTTTGGGGACCCCCAAAGCCTCTATGTCTGTGGAGGTTAAAACCCGGGCTGCTCCCAGGCTGCTGCTATTTTGCCAGCAGGGCTTGGATCTTGTCCCAAATAACTCAGGTTTGCTGTTCCAGTGGATTTGGTGCTTTGGCACAAGAAGCCCATTTTCCTTTAGAAAATGACCCTTTGCGGTGAGGAAATTAATGGGGAAATTCAGCGTGGGAAAACAATGGCTTGGTACAGCGCAGTTTAACCTCCCTTCAAATAGGTCGGGACGACAGCTCAGTTAAACCGGTTATCTGGGAGTGACCTTGGCCAGCTCACGGATCCTCTTTGGAAAGACATGATAGAAACTTATAAAATTATTCTCAGCATGGGGAAACTGGATCAAGAAAAGTTTTCCTCCCTCTCTGCTAACACTGGAGCTCATGAGCACCCAAGTGAAGCTGAATGTTGGAAGGTTCAGGACAGTTAAAAGAAAGTCCTTCTTCGTGCAGCGCAGAGTTGAACTATGGAACTCCTTGCCACAGGAGACAGTGATGGCTCTTAGGATGGCTCCTAGATGGCTTTAAAAGAGGACTGGACAAATTCATGGAGAAGAAAGCTATCAATGGATATTGGCCACAGCTGGAGGCAGCCATGCTTCTGAATGCCAGGAGAGTTGCTCTTATGGTCAGGTCCCGCTTGTGGGTTTCCCATAATGGGCATCTGGTCAGTCACTGCGAGAGCAGGATGCAGGACTGGATAGGACACTGGCCTGATCCAGCAGGCCCTTCTTATACAGTGGTACCTCTGGGTGAGAGCAGGATCCGTTCCGGAGCCCCGTTCGCATCCTGAATAGAACGTAAGATGCAACTGTGTGTCTGCGCGTGCGCGAGTCGCGTTTTGCCGCTTCTGCGCATGCGCATGATGTCATTTTGAGCGTCTGCGCATGCGTGAGCAGCGAAACCTGGAAGTAACACGATCCGTTACTTCTGGGTTGCCGCAGAGCGTAACTTGAAAACGCTCAACCTGAAGCACATTTAACCCGAGGTATGACTGTATTCTTTACTCCTGGGGGAATTGTGCAAAATCCATCTCCATGTCTGGAAGCATTAAATGGTGTGTCCTATTTGCATCCTATGAATACCCCAGAGTTTTAGTCCTCTCCAAGTTTTCCATTTCAGCTGGACTTCTGAATTATAGAATCAGAAAGCTGAAGAAGCAAGGCATGGGAACGACAGCAGAAAAAGCAAACTCTCTCTCTCTCTCTCTCTCTCTCTCTCTCTCTCTCTCTCTCTCTGCATTCTTTCATTTAGAAGTGACGTGTTTTCTTCCAGAGCTGGGAAGGAATCTGATATGCTTTGATCCAAAACTTTCTGATGGCACTGTAGTGTTTTACGTGCACCAGAAACCTTTTACAAGTGAAACTTCCACTTGACCTGCCTGCATTAACTGGGCCTTATCTTAAAGACCCTTGCCATTAGGCAGACTTTGGAAGAGATTTCAAAACAAAAACCCACAAGATCCCTAAAGGGGGAAACTCTGCAAGACTTAGAGGCATAAACCCAGAGTCTTGACCAAATGCATCCTAGGGCAGCTAATTTGCGTCTGGCCCCCTGCTGGACACAGCTGGGTTTGGGGAGCCGTTATGGCTTTGAAGTGCACCCAGATGTCTATTGCATTAGGGCCAAAGAGAGATCAGGACAGTTGCATGGCTGTCACTCAACGCAGCAGCAGGAGACCCACATCAATGCCCCTCCCCAAATTACTGGGCGAAATAGGAGACGTGCAACAGGAAATGGTCAGAGGGACGTGGGTGGCGCTGTGGGTTAAACTATAGAGCCTAGGGCTTGCCAATCAGAAGGTCGGCGGTTCGAATCCCTGCGATGGGGTGAGCTCCCGTTGCTCGGTTCCTGCTCCTGCCAACCTAGCAGTTCAAAAGCACGTCAAAGTGCAAGTAGATAAATAGGTACCGCTCCGGCGGGAAGGTAAATGGCATTTCCGTGTGCTGCTCTGGTAAATGGCATTTCTGTGCACTGCTCTGGTTCGCCAGAAGCGCCTTAGTCCTGCTGGCCACATGACTCGGAAGCTGTACGCCGGATCCCTCAGCCAGTAAAGCGAGATGAGCGCTGCAACCCCAGAGTCAGCCATGACTGGACCTAATGGTGAGGGGTCCCTTTACCTTTACCTAACAGGAAATGGTTAAACTCACCATCTTCCTACCAGCTGGGCAGAGGAGGAAGGGCCACAGCTCAGTGGGAGAGCACCTGCTTTGCATGCAGAAGGTCCCAGGTTCAATCCCCAACATCTCCAGATAGGGCTGGGGAAAACGCTAAGCCATGAAAGCCGGGAGAGCTGCTGCCAGTCAGTGTAGACCAGTGTTTCCCAACCTTGGGCCTCCAGCTGTTTTTGAACTACAATTCCCATCATCCCTGACCACTGGTCTTGCTAGCTAGGGATGATGGGAGTTGTAGTCCAAAAACAGCTGGAGGCCCAAGGTTGGGAAACACTGGTGTAGACAATACTAAACTCGGTGGGCCATTGGACTGGCTCAGTAGAGGGCAACTTTCTATGTTTGGAGGGGGAACGGGAGAACTCATGAGTGAGAAATTGGGCCCTCCAATTTCAGTGTCACCCTGTGTGGTGCTAAAATTCAGCGCCCCCGCTACCCTAAAACCGCCCCTGTGACTGCATATGACCTCCAGAGTCAGGGTTAACATGCTTTGGAGAACATCAGCCCGAGAGGACGATGGCCCTCGTCTCCCGCTTGTGGGTCTCCCAGAGACACCTGGTGGTCCACAATGAGACAAAGGGTGCTGGTTGAGACAGACCAATGGCATGGGGAACCTTCGGACCGCCTGATGTCACTGGATTTCAGCTCCCAGAAGCCCCAGCAAGCACGACCAATGGTCAGGGATGATGGAAGCAACATCTGGAAGGCCAGAGGTTCCCCACACCTGAGAGAGGCCTTTGGTCTGGTCCCACAGGGCTCTCCCTATATTCTGGAGGAGATACGAGGCTGGTGCCTTCAACCCATGTGCATATGGGCTGGTTTTTGTGTGTGACACTGCATCCAGAATGCTTTCTCCCTCCTGCGGTTACGTGGCTGGTTTCTCCCAGCTGTGGTTCTACCCAGCAGTCAACTGGGTATGTTCAAGAGACGGTCCCTCACACTGTTTTTACATGATGTTGTGGAATCTTCTTAAAACTGGAGGAGATCCAAGGAGTCTGGATTCCGTCTTTGGCAAAGCTCATGTTCTTTCTTCTTCTTCTTCTGGCTTCCTCTCCAGAGAGGGTCGTCCCCTTGCGCATCCTCTACGAGAAGTACGGCGACTGCCTGACGCAGGACAATATGATCAAGGTGATGGCTCTCTTGAAGGAGCATGAGACCAACGAGATCGTCCTTGAGTCCAGGAACATCTATGTCAAAAACCCAGATATCAAAGTCCGGGTAAGGCAAATTTGCATGGGCATTTCATGGCTGCTTCTGGGAAGTGGGTGCCCTGGGCACATTGTAGATGTTATGGACTGAGTTGAATAGGATCCAAACTGCAGCAGTCTGATTGGTCCTAGAACAATAGGATTCAGAACGCAGCAGTCTGATTGGTCCACAGGAGCCACCCAATCCAGCTCCAAGTGGAAGTGAATCCGCAACCTGATTGGCCTACAGGAGAATCCCAGAATTAGCCAATCACATGGGGCCCATTGTGTAAATAATGTATATAAAGCAGACATTCAGGGGGGACTTCCATTCCTCAACTCCTCAAATCCACACTCAACTCCAAGTATATTTCAGTAGAGTTGGAAAGGGTCATCTAGTCCAAGCCTCTGCGATGCAGGAAAAAATCCCCTGCAGGTTTTGGGGGGGGGGGAGAGAGAGAGAGAGAGAGAGAGAGAGAGAGAGAGAGAGAGAGAGAGAGAGACAGACAGACAGACAGACAGACAGACAGACAGATGTTGAGTCCAGACTGTGCAGCTTAATGAAATTCTGCTAGGGACCTGTGTCGTTCCTCTGTGTTTGCCAGAGAGAATGACAAAGTATCACATAAGCACGATCTTGTTGTTAGAAGCTATTGTAGGGGAAGAGGTAAGGAAGTTAGAAGAAAGAAGGATGTATTGTCATATCTGGACATCGCTTCCCCCATGCTTAAAGGTAAAGGGACCCCTGACCATTAGGTCCAGTCATGACCGATTCTGGGGTTGCGGCGCTCATCTCGCTTTCTTGGCCGAGGGAACCGGCGTGCAGCTTCCGGGTCATGTGGCCAGCATGACTAAGCCGAACCAGAGCAGCACACGGCGTACAGCTTCTGGGTCATGTGGCCAGCATAACTAAGCCGCTTCTGGCGAACCAGAGCAGCGCACGGAAACGCCATTTACCTTCCCACCGTTTACCTTCCCGCCGGAGCTGTACCTATTTATCTACTTGCACTTTGATGTGCTTTCAAACTGCTAGGTTGGCAGGAGCAGGGACCGAGCAACGGGAGCTCACCCCGTCGCGGGGATTCAAACCGCTGACCTTCTGATCGGCAAGTCCTAGGCTCTGTGGTTTAACCCACAGTGCCACCCGCGTCCTATAGGTGCATAAATGTTTGTGCTCTTTTCATAGTTGTTCCGCTGCCCATCAACTCCTTGCTGGCTGAGCTTGTGTTGCCCTGGCCTTGCAACGCCTAAGTGAATGTCCTGTTTTGCTGACCCCTGGAATCTGGATTTTATGGGCCTCCAGGCTGAATCCAAAGGGTATTGGGCACTGAACCCCAATATTTCCCCATCAGGCTGAGCTTTCTCCTCTTTTCCAAATGCAGATCTTGGGGGAGCCAGTTCAGAAGCGGAGGCTGGTGGCCGAGCTGACACTGAAGAACCCCCTTCCGACCCCCCTGAATGGCTGCCTCTTCGCCGTCGAGGGTGCCGGCCTGACAGAAGGGCAGAAGATCCAGGAGCTGTGAGTTTCCCCCAACCACATCTTCTGGTTCTCAATACCAACACTTCCAAGACACGAACAAGGGCTGTTGGCACCCAATTCAGTTGTGGAAGGGGAAAAGAGGGAATGGCTTAATTCTGCAAGCAAACATCCAAGCCTTTGGATGTTGCAATGCTGTGAGAGAGGGAGAAGTACTTTTCTCAAACCAACCATGCATAATTTCACCAACGTCTATCCTGTCGCCTCTCGCTGGCCTTTTTGCTCAGCTAAGAAGCCTGAAACACGGCAGCCTTCCTTTGTAGGGAAGTGGTTCTGATCCCTTGGACCATCGGATCATTGTGAAAGGAAGTGAATATAAAACTGCCGGCAAAATTCTACAAATCTATGTTGCAACCACATTTGCAGTACAGTCATACATTAGATCCCGAATGTTTTGGCTCCCAAACACCTCAAACCCGCAAGTGAGCGTTCCAGTTTGCGAATGTTCTTTGGAACCCAAATGTCCGACGTGACTTCCACAGCTTCCGATTGGCTACAGGAGCTTCCTGCAGCCAATCGGAAGCCGCGCCTTGGTTTCTGAATGTTTTGGAAGTCGAACGGACTTCTGGAATGGATTGCATTCGACTTCCGAGGTACTACTGTACTGTGTGAAGTTCTGGTCACCTTGCCTCAAAAAGGATATTGCCACCAGAAATTTTTCCTCCCTCTCTCAGAACTGTGGAACGTGTGGACTTTCAAGGAAACTTAATTCAGGACAGATAAATTCTTCTTGCAGTGCAAAGTTAAACTATGGTACTCATTCCCACCAGATTAGATAACTTTGTGGAGGAGGAAAGGGTTATTGAGGGCTCCTAGCCCTGAGGGCTGTTGGAAGCTGCCCAGAGTGGCTGGGGAAGCCCAGCCAGATAATAATAATAATAAAATTTTATTTATAGCTCGCCCTCCCCAGCCGAAGCTGGGCTCAGAGTGGCTAACAACAGTAAAATAATACAGATGGGCAGGGTATAAATAATAAATTTGTTTTTGTTATTATTGTTATTGTTACAGTGGTGCCCCGCAAGACGAATGCCTCGCAAGACGGAAAACCCGCTAGACGAAAGGGTTTTCCGTTTTGGAGGTGCTTCGCAAAACGAATTTCCTTTGGGCTTGCTTCGCAAGACGAAAATGTCTTGCGAGTTCCTGCAGGGTTCCCCCCCCTTTTTCCCAAGCCGATAAGCCGCTTATCAGCTGATCCGCTAAGCCACTAAACAGCTGATCCGCCGCTTAACAGCTGATCACTAAGTCGCTTATCAGCTGATCCGCTAAGCCGCTTAACAGCTGATCGCTAAGCCGCTTATCAGCTGATCTGCTAAGCCGCTTATCAGCTGATCCGCTAAGCCGCTAAGCCGCTTATCAGCTGATCCGCTAAGCCGCTTATCAGCTGATCCGCTACGGCCGCTTAACAGCTGATCGCTAAGCTGCTTATCAGCTGATCCGCTAAGCCGCTTAACAGCTGATCGCTAAGCCGCTTATCAGCTGATCCGCTAAGCTGCTTATCAGCTGATTCGCTAAGCCGCTTAACAGCTGATCGCTAAGCTGCTTATCAGCTGATCCGCTAAGCCGCTTAACAGCTGATCGCTAAGCCGCTTATCAGCTGATCCGCTAAGCCGCTTATCAGCTGATCCGCTAAGCCCGCTGAGCCGCTAATAGCACTAATCCGCTAATGGGCTTGCTTCGCAAGACAAAAAAACCGCAAGACGAAGAGAATCGCGGAACGGATTCTTTTCGTCTTGCGAGGCACCACTGTATTGCTATTGTTCTGCCTCCACGGTCAGAGGCAGCAATGCTTCTGAATACGGGTTGATGGAAAACTTTGGGAAGGGAAAGGGTTCTTGTGCTGATGTTCTGCTAGACTTGCGGGCCCTGGGCCTGATCCAGCGGACTCTTCTGATGACCGTAGGTTGACCTCGTGTGTCCCCCTTCCCCTCTCTCCACAGGGACAGCCCCGTCGGGCCGGGTGAGGACGCCAAGGTGAGGGTGGAGTTTGTGCCCCGCCAGTCGGGCCTGAGGAAGCTGGTGGTGGATTTTGAGAGCGACAAGCTGAAGGGGGTGAAGGGCTACCGGAACGTCATCATCGCCCCCCTGCCCAAATGATGTGCCGCCCTGCCCTGCCCGGGAAGAGGGTTACTTTGCTGGCCCGGCCTGAAATCCATCGCCTGAAGCCGCCTCTTTAGAAAGACGGGTGATTCCGGCAGCAACGGGGACCCTGGAAAACTCCCCTAGTGTACACTCAAATGTGACAATATTGCAAGGAGCCACCACCCCCAACTGCTCCTTCACCAAGGAGCCGAAATTTGGTCCTAGCTAGACCCTCCCCTGCAAAAAAAATATATATTTTTGTGGCTTTTTCAAAGAGGTCATCTAGTCCAACCCCCTCTAATGCAGGAATTACGGCTGAAGAATCCCAGTTGGAAAACCTCCAGTGGAGTTTAGAAAGTTCCTCCTGATGTTATTTGCGCACACAGCAGAAATGTATCGCTTTGGGCCACAGACGGGGCGGGAACTTTTTGAGAGTTCCCCCGTGAAAAATGACATCACACGCAAAACTCCCCCGGCAGCGCCTGGCAAGTTTGCAGACTCCCTGGGCTGCTGGTTTTCTGTCTTCAAGGGAGTTGGAGCAATAAATAAAGCTCCGTCCTTCCACCTCAGGAGGACTTGAACCCCTTATTTCCCCTCCGTCTGCTGTGTCCGTAAGACAGGAATATCTCCTGCCCAGAAATGGGTGGCCCTTAATGTCCAGCTGTCTGCAGCCCCAACAAAATGTGACATGCCCTTCCCCGAAGTCGCAGGGGAGAGGGACGCAAATATTGTAAGCTGCTTGCTGCATCATGCCAAAAATAAAGAAAATAATATATATCTAGATTCTGGCACCAGCAGCCACCAGAAATGTACGGCAGCAAGTACAGACTTCTGCTGTGCCAGTCCTGAAAGACCCACCTAACCCGGCATCCTGTTCTCAAATCCTGATCATCAAATGCCTCTATTGGGAAACCCGCAAGCGGCATTCGAACACAGAACCCCTCTCCACTCCTGCAGTTTAGTAGCTAGTAGCCATCAATAGTCTCCTCCCCCTCCAGGAATTTGCCCCGCCCTCTTTTAAAGTTGGTCCCTGCCCCATGTGGGAGGGAGTTCCGCAGTCTAACCGTTCACCAAGGCCCAGGGTTTCGCACTGATGGCACAAGCGCTTTGTCTAAAAACTGTGGCGAGCGGAGTTTTATTTCGTGTTTGAAACCAGGGAAGATCTGGCTGGGTGGGACAGGAGAAGGAGTCTGCCAACGACCATCGGATAAACAGAGACGTCAAAGGCACTCAGCGCTGCCAAGACAGATGCTGGCCAGAGGCACCAGCTCTACTTGGGCTTAGAAGCACCAGCCTCAAATCCTTTCCCTGGGCCATCTTTAAGTATTTAGCTGGAGAAACAAACTCTCTATGTTCGTTAGAAGGCATGGCAGGGGAAAAAATGAAAATTGAGAGCCAGGACTGTGGAGGAGAAGGAAGGCAGAGAAAGCAGCTTTCTTACCCCTTCCAGTGCGGTTTCTGGGGAACAGAAAGACAAGCGCAATTTCTTGGTGGAGGCATTTCTTGCTAAGAAGCTCCCAGGTCCACACTTTGCAGAAAGATTCATTTATTTTTTTAAAAAGCTGACCCAAGAAACAAAGGGCTTAATAATGTGAGCAATGTAATATGTACATACCTATAGATATATTTGTGTACCGTGATGCTATGTGTAATCTCAAATGTGCAGAGGAGAAGGTGGTTTGCCGGCTTCGCTTGATCCTTTCTAGCTGACGCTCGCGGCAAATGCTGTGTTCTCAGAGCCGGGTATTTCACCCGTGGAACTATGCAATCACTGAATAAAGAGTTAATTTTTCACCTTCCATATTTCTCTGGAGCGCTTTCCTCTCCTTTCCACAACCATAAATGACTTCCTTGCTACTCTACATGGGGCTGGGGTGTGGGTGTGTTTTCCTAGGGGGGTACCTCAAATAATTTCAGACCCTCATGAGTGTCCCTATTATCCAGCGACAGTCCCGGATTCATAGAAGCCCTCCCGGTTTCTGATTTGATTCTGGAATGTCCCGGTTTTCCTTAGGACATCCCTATTTTCATCAGAGAAATGTTGGAGGGTATGGTGGTAATAATAATAATAATAATAATAATAATAATAATAATAATAATAATAATTTATTTGTACCCTGCCCATCTGACTTTGTTGCCCCAGCCACTCTGGGTGGATTCCAGCAGATATAAAAACATAATAAAACACAAAACACTAAAAAGCTTCCCTATACAGGTGTATTCTAAAGGTTATGTAGTTACTCCTCTCCTTGGTGACTATTGTGAGGGTGTTCCACAGGGTGGGTGCCACCACTGAGAAGGCCTGTGAAATGATGGAGGCTGTGTCATTTTTGCAGCCCCGGTTAACTGGGTCAATACTTACGATTGCACAGCCCGTGGCACTTCAAAGATATCCACTTAGTCATCATTGCAGCATAAGAAGAGCACGCAGGATGAGGCCAATGGCCCATCCTGGCCAGGATCAGAAGCGTCACAGCCTGTGACGGTGGCAGCAGACAAGAGCCATCATGGCTTGTAGCCTTCAATAGGTTTCTTTTCCATAATCCTCTTTTAAACCACTGCCTCCTGGGGCAGGGAGTTTCACAGTTTAATTACCGTATTTTTCGCTCCATAAGACACACTTTTTTCCTCCTAAAAAGTAAGGGGAAATGTCTGTGCATCTTATGGAGCGAATGCGTGGTCCCTGGAGCAGAATTGCCCAGGGGCAAAAAGCAGGTTGTGCTTTTTTTTATTAGAAAGAGGGAAGGGGGTGTTGAAACAAAGCCACTGAGCAGCTGATCGGCAAGCGATTGGGAGGGAGATAAGGGACTCTAGCAATAAAGGAGGCTGCCTGGGAGGGGGGAGGTAAATGCCCATGGATCCTCAGGATTTTTGCATTGGGTCACCCCAAATTCACCATCAGATCACATAGCATGTCCATGGATACAGCCTGCACCAAAAAAACCATGCACCCACTGTTTCGTGGGGCCGCAATGGTGCAAAAACGTGGTTACAAAGCACGGATCCACATGAATCCTCAGGATTTTTGCATTGGGCTACCCCAAACTCACCGTCAAATCACATATCATGTCAGTGGCCACAACATGAACCACAAAAATCATACATCCACTGTTTCGTTCAGAATATTTTTCTTTCTTGTTTTCCTCCTCTAAAAACTAGGCGCTTCTTATGGTCAGGTGCGTCTTATGGAGCGAAAAATACGGTATGCCCCGGGACCCAGCGGCTGAACAGGCCCAAGTGGAGGATCCTCAGGAGTAGCTGGGAGAAAGTTGGGGGGGGGGAGACCTTTTTTTGTTGCCAGAATGCAGAACTGAGCGCAGTGAAAACTTGTCAGGACCAGCCTTATCATGACAGCTGTCCGTGGGCAGAGCAAAGAATTCCATCATCCTTGGAAATTAAAGGATTTTGCAGCCTCTTTGAAACCAGCTGCCTCCACGCTGACCTGACCCTGATGGAAACGGGCGGTTATCTCTGCATTCTTGACCCAGGCAGCTCAAGACCGAGGCAATGAAGGTAAATTCTGCCCATGTTTCCCAGAGCCAGATGCTGGGAGGCCTTCAGAGGGCTGGCCTGGCAGCAAACGCCACAGAAAGCGATGGAAGAAACCATCTCCTTCCTGGGAGGTTTTTAAGCTGAGGTCAGATGGCGATTTGTCATGGATGCTTTAGCTGAGATTCCTGCATTGGGATCCCTTCGAACTCTGATTCTATGATTCTAGTATATATAATTTTTTTATTAGTTTTTTAACATATCATTTTCAACAGTAATTAAACATACTTTTACATCTTATTCAATTTTTTCGACTTCCATCAATCCTGCTTGAAAATTTTCCAATCTATTTTTTTTAAAAAAAAGATATTTATTCAAGTTTTACAAAATAAAAAACATAAGTTTACAACATAGAAAGAATTATAACAACCATTAACACACAATCTAATCTCTCAGTATGCATTTCGTATCTTCCCTATTACATTTCAAACTCATAACCAATATCTCTATCTTTTTCTACTTCGTAACACTTCGTATATTTCTCCTTACAAAACTTCTTGTAGTCCTACTAGCGTAATTTGTTGGTTACAGTTGCTCTTCAAATAATTCATATACTTCTTCCAATCTTTTGTAAATCTCTGGTCCCGCAGGTTTCGAATCCTTCCTGTCATTTTGTCCAATTCTGCGTAGTCCATTAATTTCGCCTGCCATTCTTATTTTGTGAGAATTTCTTCTTGTTTCCGTTTCTGGGCTAACAATACTCTTGCCACTGTTGTTGCATATAAAAACAATTTAACATCTTGCCTATTAATGTTCTGACCTATAATACCAAGTAAAAATGCTTCTGGTTTTTTTAAAAAAGTATATTTCAACATCTTTTTCATCTCATTATATATCACTTCCCAGAAGTTCTTTACTTTTTTACATTCCCACCACATATGATAAAATGTTCCTTCTTTTTCTTTACATTTCCAACATTTATTATTTGTCTTACACATTTTAGCTAATTTCACTGGTGTAATATACCATCTATACAACAGTTCCATGGTTCGAGGGCAGTGCGGTGCAGTGGTTAGGGTGACAGATTTCTAGGACCTGGGAGTGACCAGGATTCAAATCCCCGCTTGGCCATGAAGCTCACTGGTCATGACCTTGGGCCACAACCTCGCAGGGTTGCCGTCGCAGGGACAGAAAGGGGAAGAGGAGAACGATGTATGAGCTCCCTGGAGGGGTATATCTGAAAGCAATAAATAAATAAATAACGGGGGATACTTCAGCTCTGATTCCTGCATTGCAGGGGGCTGGACTAGAGGAACTTTGGGGTTTCCTTCCAACTTTAACTCTGTGGGTAATGCTAACGGCAGGTACACACAGAATTTACTGTACCTATTTTGTGGGTGATGTCTCTACTTTTTAAAAAGTAGAGACATCACCTTGCCAACAAAGGTCCGTATAGTTAAAGCCATGGTTTTCCCAGTAGTGATGTATGGAAGTGAGAGCTGGACCATAAAGAAGGCTGATCGCCGAAGAATTGATGCTTTTGAATTCTGGTGCTGGAGGAGACTCTGGAGAGTCCCATGGGCTGCAAGAAGATCCAACCTCTCCATTCTGGAGGAAATCAGCCCTGAGTGCTCATTGGAAGGACAGATCCTGAAGCTGAGGCTCCAAGACTTTGGCCACCTCACGAGAAGAGAAGACTCTCTGGAAAAAACCCTGATGTTGGGAAAGATGGAGGGCACAAGAAGAAGTGGACGACAGAGGACGAGATGGTGGGACAGTGTTCTCAAAGCTACAAACATGAGTCTGACCAAACTGCGGGAGGCAGTGGAAGACAGGAGGGCCTGGCGTGCTCTGGTCCAGGGGGTCACGAAGAGTCGGACACGACTAAACGACTAAACAACAACAACATTTTGTGGGTAAAACACCTCCTGTCTTGCTCTGCTTTTGAATCCAAGTCACTTGGTGTTGCCCTGGGCAAGAGAAAGCTGCTAAGTTTTCCTAGCCCCACTCGAGACTGCCTGAAGGGGACTCTGGCTTCCCCCTTGGAGCAGTGGGGCTGGCGGGGCAGAAGGCAGGGAGACCAAGAACAGGGGAGCCAGAGCCAGCGGGAAGCAGAGTCCACAGCTGCCGGCTGCATCCTCACCTCTAGAAGCATAAGGACAGAAGGAGAGCCGAAACAGGCCAGCAAGTCCAGCCTCCTGTTCCCACAGGGGCCAAAGGGAAACCCCTGAGCAGGACCTGAGCGGAAGAGCAGCTCTCCCCTTCCTTTTATCTGTCCTGCTTCAATGTGTGATAGGAATTTTGAGGTCTTAGATATATGTTAAATGTTCATAAGTGTACCAACCAAGCACATACATAGATCAGCACAGGAAGACCGACCTAAACCATTTTGATTCCCAAACTGAGCAAACTGTTTTCTCTGCAAGGTCAAGGAAAATGGAAAAGCCTCCCCATTGTCTTTTCCTTCACAAATCCTGTCTTAAGGGTATGTCTGTGTTCAGGAACTAAGTATTTATCATTACAAAAAGACTGGCCAGGCTCCCCAGGGTATCCAATCAAATAAGCATTAACAGGTAACCTGCCAGACAGGAGGTAAACAAGGCACTCAGATTTCTGCTGTAGACAGCCTTTTCTGTGATGTATGTATGATGTATGGAGGGGTGGTCTTGAGCTCCAGGGCAGGGAATTTAAAATGTCTATATAAGGCCTTGCGTGCCATTGTTCTGGATTCCTTTTCCCTCCTGCGTGTGGTGAGGGGAGCACCCTGTTGCAACAGATCAATAAAGATCAAGCTTACTAGCTGCTTTGCTTCTCAATATTCTCTGGTTGGCCTCTGTTATTCTCTCCTACCAATAGGGAACCTATGTAAGGACTCTATATGGGCTCTTGGATACCCCATTTGTTTACAACAAATGGATACCCAGAAATTCTAGCTTTGAGAGAGAGGGACAAAGACTCTTCTCTACCCTCTTATCTGCAGAGGCTTCTCTCTTCCACCTGAGAGCTGTTTTCTTTCAGAAACCAGCTCTGGAGACAAGCGGAAGCCACTCATCCAGCCAGGATCAAGCCCCTTGCACAGTGGCAGGGACCCAAACCCCCCAAGCCCTGTTCTTCCTGACTGGCCTGCAATGTTCAGAGGAAAAATTGTGGGTGTCAGGCTAGGACTGCAAACCACTGGCAGAGAGACAGGATTGGGTAGGAAATGGAATTGGACCGCCTTGGAGAAGCCGCAGGTGTCAGAGATAAGATTCTAGACTTGAGGCCGCAGCATTTAATCCTGGGGGGGATGGGATGCGGTCAGAGCTAAATT